TGTCGCGTTCCCTAGATACTTCGGTCGGGCGGATTGCTAGACCAGGATGGGACAAGACGAGACATGTATATTATCATCACCATTTACTCGAAAAATTAAATGTATTATAGTTTCTTAATTTTCACATTGTAACATACACCAGTAACCAGTAACCAGTCATCTTCTACTAACCGATGTAAGTAACAAAGCGACCAACAATCACAGGCATAAGCATATGCATAAGCATAGTAAGCAATCAATCAAACACCAACTAACTAGTCCAGTTCAAGACCACACACACACCCCAAGGCTTAGCACCCCAGCACATCCTACACAGCCATCACACTAACTATACCTTAGACACATAACTAATTTACTTCCTATACCCATTAGTAACTGTCATCGCCTCATCCACAACCCCAACATAATAACAACCAACCGAAGAGATTACTTACCAACCTACTTATTTAGATAATAAAATCGATATCAGGCAACTAGTTCATCCCATCACAGCCCCCCTCCCAAACAAATAACCTGAAACCAAACCATGCATTAGCTAGATAAACTACTGTAAGTAAGCACCAAGCCACGATACAGACTAACCGTAGTAACCAGGCAGGTAACTTGGATATGACGGTTAAGTTAAGTTACCAGTAACGTTAACTGGTTAGTTAATTGTTATGACATGAGATGAGATGAGATGAGAATAAGCACTAGGAAAAATAAATACTAATTGATATATTCAGTTGGTGTTGGGATAACTTCGGCGAATGCTTACTTGTTGGTAACTTGAGTTGACTAAAGGATTATATTATGTATGGGTGAGTGTGTATCTATGTAGTACTGCTGTAGGAGAAAACATGGTAGGGCAGACTTTACTATGTGTATATTTTGTCCATCCTACGTGGAAAAAATGAATAGGAACTGCTAAATAGAATAAAGTTCTATGAGATAGATACTCATGAGTGTTACTACTACTACTACTACTACTACTATTACTACTACTACTACTATTACTACTACTACTACTATTACTACTACTACTACTATTACTACTACTACTACTACTATCTTAAGAGACCAAACCGGGTATGATATATTCCTATTCTAGTTTGATACCTGATATATAAGTAGCATCATAGTACACTAACTAAGGTACTTACTATTTAGTAGTATATGAAGTAGTAGGGACATGTGGAAATTACATAGTGGGCTTTATGTTATGTTATCTTATGTTATGTTATGCATGCATGGCTCAGACTGTACCTAGTAGTTATGTATATATAGTATAGTATTCGTCTAACGTATCGTATTACATTCATATCATTACAAACGATAGTTACCATAAGAGGCATAACTCTAGGCCTAATCAGTAGTAGATGCTTAAAAAAACTTATTATAGATTCAGGGGAAGACAAGACGGCCGTTGAAGCCAAGTCCATAAGACAGCAGATAGGGGTTAGAAGTATATGCAAGTGGGTACATTTCACGACAGTGTAGCTGCCAAGCAGAGTATCTCTGATCATCCGCTTAGTAATTTATCTGATTCGATTGAGTATACGTAGCAAACTCAGACTAAGGTTAGTTAGTTATGTAAATAGTTTTGGTCTACATAGTGTCCGGCAATAGCAACGGATCTCTTAACAACCGGAGCATATCTTCACTCCGGAGATGAATCTGCACATCCACACCATGCCCTGTCCAAGCCGACGGAACGCGGCAGTGCCTGACCTCCGACTCCCGATCGGATGGCGACGGCGACGGTGGTGCCTCTTTGATCAAGACGAGGCCATCGAGATTGGCGAGGATACCATCCGCGTAGCGAGCCGAGGAAGAAGAAAGTGGACCCAACCCAAAATCCACATCATACAGCCCTGCGCACGCCCACGTCGTCACCATAACGTGCCGAGAACCCAGAAATCCCTGCCAAATGCGTTGCGGAGACGTTTCGTATGCCAGACGGTGGAGGTGGGCAGCCAAGCGGGCCGGATGATTCTTCAGCTGAAGAAGAGTTTGGCGGATGCGGTGCGCGATGGGCGGAAGTACGGCAGTTTCCTTGCCGTCCGAGTTTGCAGTCGTCGTCAGTTCCGCCCCAGCCATCTCCACATTAACCATCACGGAAAGCGACCCCATAAAGGCATCGCTCAGATGAAACGCCGGTCGGCACCCGTACGCCAGGTCGCAGTGGACCGGCCCGGGGTCGTGTTGCATCTTCCGAGCTCGGTTGATGCTTGACCATATATGTGCCAGAATGGCATCATGTCGACTCAGTCGATTAGTCTTTGTGGTTGTGGCGGATACGTTGTTGGCTTGTGTCCAGATCTTCTCAACCTGCTCGCGACTCAGGTGCACGATGTAATGAGACACCGGCGCTTTCGTGTCCCATTCTGACCATGGTATTTGTTTCCCCGCTGGGGCAATGTCCTGGTTCCGGAAAGCTTCAGGGATGCGTGTCTTCAGGGGAGAGTCAGGAGGCACGTTCCACCAGTCATAGCGATGAACCGGTAGGCTTTTTGTCTGTTCGATGATCGACTCGTCCGGTGTAGCAGCATTGATGTCCCCTGCTGCTGCGTCGTCGAGTCGCGCCGGCTCAAACAAAGGTTTCAATACTGGTATAGGATCGCACAGTAACGCAGAACGGCTAACACTTGCCCAGTCTTTGACGAAGTGAAACAGTGACTGCGCATCCGCTAAAGGATGAGCTATTTTGACTGCTAGGGCGAACCCTCCACAGGCCAATTCCGTAACTTGAATAGCCATGACCGGAGGGTTAATATCTGCATTGTCGACAACAGGTTGTTTAAGCGGGTTCGCCAAGCAAGTCTTTGGGACAAACTTCGATAAAGCCACCTTTTCCTGATTCCAGAGAGGCTGAGATGTCGTACGAGAGGAAGGACAGAGACCATCGAGGGTATCAGCTGCACGTGCAGTGACGAACTCAACGCCTGGGTCAGCCCGCGTGCCATAATGGACATACACCCGGCCAAAACGGCGGGCATGAGGCTCCAGCCGATCTCGATCAGCAATCGCAGGGCCATCCACCGAGTCAACGGCCTTAATCAAGCCACACCATTGAGGATAAGCATCCAGCGTGATCCTGAGAGATTGACGGAGGTGGTTCACCAGATTGCCGCGGTTTTGCTGCTCACACTCAAAGAGCCAAACAGCGCTTGCATCCAAGAAGTCTACCGTGGTGGCATCCAGTAAAGACAAGGCAACGATACAATCCGAGTTAGCTTCCTTGTTTGGAAACAGTCTCTCGGAATGCAGGATCGACGGATCAGAGGTTGACATCGGAGGCGTAGTATCGAGCAAAATAGCCCTTCAATCACTGCCAGAAAAACAAGGCTATAGGGTTAACTTTTCGGTAGATGGCTGATCTGGCTGGCAGCCAATACCAATCCTATTTGTAAGTATAGAAGAGCATGTTTTTCTCGCATCGTCCCGTCCCTTCTTGACTGTAGAAAGCAGCATCATTATGGCTCATGGCCAACTTGTTCCGAATAGTTTGGGTATAGTTCCCAACTGATTAGGTAGAGATAAGCCCATCAGTATATGTCCCTGTCATCATGAGTCATTATTATCCATGGATGGATGTATGAACGGGCACCGCAAAGAGATGTAGCCAAGCGTCCAACGAGACACACTGATTCGTGGAATGCTCGAGAGTTCATTTAGTGGCTTGAAGGCAATCAATCCAGGGCAGTAGTTCCGGCGCCAGCAACGGCGGACCGGCGTTCCAGCTTTCTTATTAGTTTACCTAGTGATCGAATGACTTCGTTGTGGAGTGGCAAGTAAGACGACAGAGGCACTAAGTCTAACCCATCTTCGTGATAACTTTTAGTCAATGTTGTGACAAGTGAAGTGATCACATACTGGCCCAGACTTAATGGATGGCTTGTCGGAGTGTATCACCAAGATGATTGTTTGTTTGTGGGTAGCATGGATGGTAGATTGGCACGTGAACAACATAAACTACGCACGGGGAGCGGCGGGAATAGCGGTAAGATACTGCCATGGCAGGCTCTGCTGGCGTGATCTCACGTGTCAATCTTACGATACCGTCTGTACTGTCATAGATTACCCAGGGTGTGTAAGGAAGAAAGACAAGAAAACGACAGAAACGCCCAGCAAGTCAAATTAGCTCAAAGAAGTCATCATCATCAAAAAGGGAGAGAGGGGCCAAAAAAACCTTGGCCCCATCTGATGGATCATGGAACGACTGACAATTTATCTGTTTACGGAGAACTTTGTGTGTCCGGCTGCCGACATGAATACTCTCACATACCGAGTACACGCACACAGAGTGGGCTCAGCTCTACATTATCTGCGCAAAGTGGATCTCTATCGGACTACCCGGAGGAAGCATGTTCTGTTCCGCGCCGAAGTTCATTCAATTCTTCGTCGATGATTCGGTTTCTGGAAGGTCACCGCGATTACCTACACGTCTCAGGGATGTGGCGGATGATTGGATTCGGGAGCTGCGGATAGGTGTGAAACCATCCACACCCTCAGCGCCAGTTGGGTCGGTCCCCTTTCAATCGAAATCGTTGCCTAGTGCTCCGTACCCAGGAATCAGGAACAGAAGGGAAGAAGAGGGGGGGAAAGCCTAACTAACCGACCTACCTGGGCGCTGGATTCTGGACGGGGTCCACACCGAACGGATACTTTATTCCCTCCAAGCTGCGGTCTGGGCGGAGCCTCGCTACGCCGGTTGCCCAAATCAGGATGGCAGCGATCCACTTCGTGTACGATGGTCGCGAGAGGAAAGGGTCGTCGGGCGGTTTCAGACGGAAAGCTTTAACTATTGGGCTGAACAGGCGAAATGACTGGATGGATCGTTTAATATCGGCACGAGACAGCGCTGAACAGGGTCAGCATCCATCGTGGGGGGAGGGTCCGTTCGAAAAAAGGATGCCCCAGTTGAGGGAATATAGTTACTAATATACTTCCACTGAAAAAAGTCGTGGTCAAGTAAGCGTTGGAAAACAAAGACTTGGGAGACGGGGAGGAAGGAATCCATGGCTGATGGGCTCAATCCTGCTGAGCACTTCGTACGTAGCCAGTATTACTTTGTATTCCCTTTAGTCAAACTGCGGAGGAATACCACGCGGGGGGGGCGAATGCCAAGTTGCCAACCTTACTGGTGTTAAGCATATTCTCTCGGCCTTTGTCCGGCGCCAGACCAGCAGGGCACTACTTCGGAGTATGAGCGTAAAACTGACATGGATGGAGTATGGACGACTGATGATCGATCCTCTGGCCCTTTTGGCCTAGACTGGGGACCGTGGATCGCCTACGCGACCCTCGCTCGTATCGGCTGGCTTGCTCGGCAACTTGACTCAGATGAGGACACCTGTACTTCTTCGTCCAGCTCTCTGCTCTTCCGGTGGTTTTGCGCCCTCAAACCCGACGCACCAACTATGGTGTGGTCATTACATAATCGGTCCGGTATTTCCGTGGGGACCGGATTCAGATTGAAAAAGGCAGGTCGGCTGCCATGGCCGAATCCTGGACAAAAAGGGTGAAGGATGCGAGAATCAATAAAAATAGCCCCCCAGTAAATTTGCAGTGGCTCGGCGACATCAGATGGATAGTTAGATGATGGCCACGACGGAGTTAGCCGCCAGTCTCCCTTGCCATATAAGACACGGACTAAAAATTGCTTTCAAATTAGGCTGATTTCCAAGACCCTATGAGGGAAGGGGATGTTTCTAAGTAAGTAACCTCAGTAGGTAAGACGATGAACTCTTGCTGGGAGGTGTAAGGAGAAAGGGCGTGTGTGAATGGATGGAAAGGATCAGTTGCTGTGCTCGGGGAAATACCAACTAGGTAACTTAGTAGATAGGACACTGTTACTTAGTACATACACCATGTAAAAGACCAGACCACAAGGCCAGACAGGCTAAGCCTTGGCTATCTGGTAATCGAGGGTCCAGTCGGAAAACTCGTGTTACATCGACTTTTGCTGGACCAAAACGAAGTAGTCAGCGGGGATGGTTTGGCTTCTGCAGCGCTTTGACGCTTGGGCCTGGTCAGGGATAGCGATCCTCGGCTACGGAGGTCTGATACGCTGCCACGGAGGCGGCCAATTAGTCAAATCGCTCATGGAAATCTCCCAATCTGGTAATTCATCTCCATTCGCGTGGCGGATGGAGAGCGACAAGGAGGAGGGGGGGTGGAAAGCCTTCACACTAACTAAGCAATAGTCGCCCGACTAGGGCTGCAACGGTGGGCGCCTAGAGCACGCTTGGTTTGGAGTTATTGAAGTAAGCCAGCCATTTATGCTCATTCTTTCTTCGTCTTGGCTTATCAGCCTTGGGGCTTGGGGCGTGGAAGGAAGGAAAAAAGTGCGCACAGCTTGGGTAGTCTGTTTGTCTTTCCCTTGTCTGTAAGTCAAAAAATGACAGGCTGTAGGCACACACCCTTATCTTCTCCGTACCTTAACCTAATTCAAACAGGCTATGATCGATCATTCATGCAACTTGAGAGGGAAGGAAGAGGGAGGGAGGGGGGTGATCTCCATCAGCAATGTCTGCGTCGGGTAGTTGATCTGCGAGTGCGACGATGAAAGTAGGCTTACAGACATGGCAGTACTACAAGACCAACCAACAGAGGTCAATAAATAGCTTTGACAGCAACAGCAACAGCAACAGCAACAGCAACAGCAACAGCAACAGCAACA